CCCCCACCCTTAAATTCACCCCCTCACCCTCACTTTTGTAAAAAGCGTATTTCAAATACTAGAGACTTGTGCTTTGGCAATTACATGCATATCCATGTTATAATCGTAATCTAAAAGTTTCATGAAGATCGTACGTCCACAAAAGTTATTAAGCCATTAAGTTCTCATAGTAAGCGCTCACTGCAGCCCATGCGTGTTTATGCGTGGGTGCTTGTGTTGTGTATGTGTGTGTGCATGTGTATGTGTATGTATGTGAGTTTGTGTCTGTATGCGTGTATGTATGCCTGTGTGTGTGTGTGTGTGCGTGTTTCTTGTGTAAGCTGAAAGACGCGAAAAATTATTGAAATATCTATTGCTCCAAGGGTTCAGGGGATCTCGTAGTCGAGCAGTCTCGACTAGAGCTTTCTTACTTGTTGCTCTTGGCTTAAAGTAATTCATAGCTCAAAGAGCCAAGACTTTCTTTCGATTTCAACACAAAAACTATTGGCAATTTAACATTTGTAAGTTCATAAATATGCGACCTCTCTAAGCTGTCGACTTGAAGCTGTTTGTTGTCTGTGTGTGTGTGTGTGTGTGTGTGTTGCGGCGATTGCTTTGAATTTCAGATGCAAATTAATAACCAATTATAATGTGAATAAAAAATCTTAGTTATCATTATGATGTTTCTCGTGTTTGCCCGAATGATCATTCCGATGATAATTCCAGACGAGAGCTGGAAACTCTCGTCTCACGTCGCACACGAAACGGAAATAGAATTCTGAAGGCCTTACAATGCAATCTATAAATTTATAATGTGAATTTCGATATTTCTTTACAGCTGTAAACTTTTTTGAAGTGAAAGTTTCAACGACTAAGTCTTTCTAAGGGCATGGGCGTGTTTTGATGCTCGCTCAACGAGTGAAAATAGTTGATGTGTCCATTAGGTCGTGCTGTATGGTCTTTTATAGAAGTCCTAACAGAACTTGAGACTTAATGGAGGCAGTCCAAACAGGAAATAGATGATATGCCCTTTTTAAGAGCATCGTCGTGTTTTGATGCTCGTTCACTGAGGGAGAAGAGTTGATTGGGTTTGAGTTGAGTTGAATCTGTTGGACCGCCAGTGCGCGCTAGTGGGTTACCATAAGGTCTTTAATAAAATTCCCATTAGAACTTGATTCTTATTTTAGCTAGAAACAGGAAACATGATATAGATTTTAAATATTTAACTTAAATAGCTACGCATGGCAAATCAATTCAAATTGCGATCATTTTAAAACTTCGAATACTAAAATTTTATAGGCCGTTCTGCCAGTTTCTAAACCTTACGAGTTCGCAAAACTTCGCATTCGGGGCTTACAAATATTCAATTATTGACTTTTTTATAAATTGATCAAGTATTATGCAGTCAGATTCGCCCAACCACAAAGTTCTTAAATGTTTCTTTCATTCATATTCATTTCCACCTTAAAAAATTAGTCTATGCTGCCATTATCGGTTCGCATTTCAGTTCTAAGAGTTCCACATCAAATTAGCATTGCAAATGTGATTAAAAATCAGAATTAAAAAAAAAAAAAACTTTACTTTAAATATCACATAAATTTGCGATTTTAAATTCGATTGGGAATATTTGATTTGTTTATGTATTTTTGCCAAAAGCGCAAAAATTTTGTGTAAAAAAAGGGGAATATACATATGTAATTTGTTAAATATAAATGTGCATATACATATAAAACTCTATCTAAACGATCTAGAACTCTTTGGGAGATTTCTCCATTTTAGATTTACAGCCCTAACGATTTATATTTATTTGCTCTACGAGAAAGTTGACGTAAACGAGAAATTGTAAATTTGTGCAAAGAAACTTATTATATTTCTTATGATTCGAAATGGATGGAAAACAGAAGCCAACGAAACTCCAAATGTTGTGCAAGAACGTGAACTGGTTCCTCGATCTGCCAGCTGTGCAGAATACCAAAGTCGTAATTGTTGTGCTCTTGGATTTGTTGACGCTATCGAACCTATGTCCAGCTTACTCCAATTATGTAGCTCGCCCGTTTATACTATGGAAATATTAAGCAAGGATGAAGACTATATAAGAGTGTATATATGTATATATATAAATATATACTTACATATGCATAAACATTTTATAGCTGCGTTCTGTATGTGGGCGCATTTTGAACTTGTTTCCAAACGATCTTCACCTTCAGTTCAATGCCAATGCCAATGACGTCATGCTGCGGACTGCATGTAAGTAGCGCATGTGTGTGTGTGTATGTGTGTGTAGGTGTCTTCGAACTGGCTAAAATCCTCTTCTCTTTTAACTCCGCAGCTCCGTTCGTATCTTTTGGCCTGTTTGCTTCAAATGCTTTGCCAAAAAATAAAAAAAAATTAAATCGACGCACAAAATTTTGTATTTTTTTTTTCGTTTTTTTTCGTGCTCATTAAAACTTTCGAAAGTTGCGCAGCAAAGCGTCTTTTGTGTCTGGAAATAAACGTCAATTTAAAAAGGAACCTGTGCAACAGCGAAACACACACACACTCACTCACACACACACGCACAACAAATTGAAAATTCTCGAAAAAACAGCTTTTTGTTTTTTGTGTTGATGTTGCCAAAAATGGTGTAGAGCCTTGCCTTGTACGCAGTCCTACGGCTGGTTTCGTTTTTTCTCTCTGTTTTGGAAGCTGGGTTGCATGTTTTTTTTTTTTTTTTTCTGGCTGCCGTTTTTGGTGTGCATGCGTCAAGGATGATTTGTTTTAATGCAAAAGGCAGCACCAGCAGCAGCAGCGACTTCAAAATTTCATTTGTGATTTTTTCTCTGATATTTTGTTATTTTTATTATTTTTATTTTGTTTGCTTCCT